CGCTCCTAACTTCAGGATCCTGAAGCGCTGGCTCAACTAATGCTGTCTCTGCCACTAACCCATGATGGGAAGTACGTCCTGCTAACCGAGCAGGCGGAGGACAGCGACGGCAGCCCGGGCGGGCGCAGAGGCGCAGAGTCGGAAGCGTGGCTCCCAGGCCGGGGAAGTGGCGGGGCCGGGCCGCTCCTCAGGGCTGTCCACCTTCTCTGCCGTGCAGGCGCACAACCTGGTTTCGGGCTGCTGACGCGCACGTGGACCCCGATGCCTTCATCGGCCAGGCGGGAAGCAGGCAGCCCAGTGGCCGCGTTCCTGCGTCTGCACTTGTTCCTTAGGTGCTTGGTGGTGAGTGCTTCCGCGGACTGCGTGTCGGCACGCGTCGGAGGCTTGGCGATGTCCCGTCCGCTTCACCCGGATGTCATCTGCCACTTCTGGTGTCCTTAGAAACAGCAAAGGCCTAGATTTACAATTTGATAAACACTAGATTCTTCCTATTAATCTAGTTTTGTATTTTACCTAATGAGCTCTAAGTGCCTGTTGTGCTGAAAGTGTACGGGAAGCCAGCTCATCTCATCGGCCCTACAGCACTGTGTGCGCACTGGGGCCTGACCCGGGCATCGCTGACCCCAGGCCAGCAGCTGAGCCCCGCGAGAGTCGCCAGGCGTCACCCAGCAGGCACTGGCTGGTCCTCCAGCCCTGACTGGTGGGGTTTGCTGGGCCCAAGGCCCAGTGCTGCCGTTCATTCTTCTGAGCCAGACCCGAGGACAGGCCAGTGAATTTTCACAAACCCCAGCCCATCCACTGTCTGCCTAACCAGCAATTAATGGTAAAGATCTTGAACTATACACTGTTTTTAACTGTAACAAATCCAACAGACTATCACTACCTGTGTAATAAATTAACCTAGCAATGACTTACACTGTTTCTTTCTACTTGTGGTAATTTTCTAGAACAGCCCTGGAAGCAAACTAGAATGAGTTCTCTAGTTTAATGGTTAATCATACAATGCAGTTACAGCCAAGGGGACAGACTGCCCCAAAACGCCTTTGTTCAGTCAGAGTAGAACACTTTAAGATGACGACGGATGAGCTTCCGCAACCCCAATCTCGGGTTGTTGGGGGACTGTGCCTGTGGTGCACACATCACCAGGGAAACAGTGGCTGCCTAGGGCCGGGTGAGGTTCCACACCAGCAGGTGACTTCCAAGTCCACTGATGCCCAATGCCCGGCAGACCTTTCCCAGAGCCGAGCTGCAGCCTCTTAGATGTTTTTCTTTAAGCTTCGACTTTTTCAGCAGCAGCGGCAGTAGGAGGATCTCAAGGCCTAAGGTGCTATTAAAACTGTGGCTTCAATAAGACACAAAACATGCAGCTCATGAAGACACAACTGAAATTCAGTAGCTTAAAGCTCCATCAAAAACACAGAAGGAATGAAAACACAACCCAGAAAAGATACAAGCCAATAAGACCTAATCCCCACAATGTAGAAAACATCTTCCATTAATTAAATTTTTAAAAATTGGTCATTTCACAGATTCGAAACATGTTTGTTCAACCTCACCTGGTAACCGGGAGGTGTAAGTGAAAACCGCACCGAGATGCTAACACTCACCGGACTGCGGTCAGCCCCGGGGATGGAGGGCCAGGAGGGCACGGTGGCAGCCCGCAGCCCGTGGGGAGGGGCCCGTCCCACAGCCTGGGTGTCCACACGTGCCGGGACAGTTCCACTGCGAAACCCTGGATGCCACCAGCAGATGGGTAACTATCTGCGCTCTAACTGGATGCTACAAACGACAGCCTCGTCTCCTGTGAATTTTAAAAACAATGAAGCAACATCATCAAAACCTATGATCCGATTCCACTGAGGTTAAATAAACATGCAAACCATTATTTAGGGAGACATAAGAAGGTGTGAAACTAGAGAACAGCAAGGGCTGTTACCAACCGAGCACAGTTGTTGCTCTTCTGGGGCAGGGAACTCTTGCAGATTTTAAGTAATTTTAAGATTTGGAAACAGCAAGTGATTTCCCTTCCTCACTTACTGAAATGTGTATTGAGCAGACACAGCACTGAAAAGTTAATGCGTACCTAAGGAGCTAGGTGGGGAAGCTGCTCAGAGGCCAGCTCTCTACCAACTGGTTTCTGGTCTGGGTTTAGGTCACTTGCCCTCAGATGCAATATTTCTCTTCACATTCTTGATCCTTGTACTTCTCTAGGTAAAATATATGAATTTCATGTAAAAATTCAAAAAATTGCAACCTTTAACCTAAACGGGTTAATGAATATGTGCAGCCCTTAAGAGAACTATTCAGTCTTCTTACTTCCAAATTTTCCTCCTAAAACAGCTGACACCAAACAAATGCATTTCTACTTAGTAGCAATAATAAGCTATATAACAGCTGGCATTTATGGTATATAGAATTAGAACACTGTTGTTTTTTCTGGTACTGGGGTTTGAACTCAGGACCTTGCGCTTACAAGACAGGCACGATGCCACTGAGCTATCCACCCCCGCCGCCTTTACAGTAGTATCTGACAGCCACAACATACAGTGGCCACTGTTCCTTACTACTGCAGTGCTGGGTGCAAATTCATCCTCAGAACTCAATACTCCAGCCCACTTTGTGCCTGAGGAGACACCGGAGGGGTGAAAGCCTGTGGTGGGACCTACTGGGCTCTCTCAGCCCGTCCCTGGAGGCTGTGCTGCCCACCGTGGGGTGCTACATGCCTGACCTCAGAGACCGGCAATCCCCAGATGTTTCTCCACCCATTAAGCTTTAAAGATTACCCTACTAGTAGCTCTACTGAGGTATCTTTGTGCTACCCTTTGTGCGATTTCTCAAAGATTAAATGCCTTAATACTAAATTCTATACAAATAGGTATTTCAACAGCACTCAGGAGGCTGAGGCAGGAAGATCATCACAAGGTCGAGGCCAGCCTGAGCTACACAGTGAGTTCAAGGTGAGCCCGAACTACTTACTGACACTCGCCTCAAAATGAAAAACAAGAGGTCATTTCTCAGTATAAGTTAACTCCCCACCTGACGATGAGGGCGCTAAAGAACGCTTCAGTACGCATGGGCCGCCCAAAGAAAACTCGCCCTATCCACAGTCCTCAGGGCTGACCCGAGTCAGGACATCACTGTGCGATGGAGGGCCACACTGCGGAAGCTGAGGCGAGCGTTTACTGTACTGCTGTAGAGTACGGCTCTCCCCTGGCCAGCAGCATCTTGCGCTTCCTGCACAGTCAGTCCTTGGGACTTGGCTTAAACTAGATTTCCACTCACTCTGGGTTCTCTTTTATTTGACATCTTTGCCCAGGATGGCCTACAACTCGTGGTGATGCTCCTGCCTCAGCCTCCCAGGTGCAGAGACCACAGGCATGTGCCACCACACCCAGTGTACCTGACATCTCTGACAACCCTTTAAATTGTTCCAAACATCGAAAAGCTGGTTTCAAAGTCAGGTAACATTAAAGCCTCCCTAAGAAAGCAAATGCAGTTTGAAATGTACGCAACATGAACCTAGGAAGACAATGGTGTTGAAATCATTTAAACAGTGAAACTATTTTTACATTTAGGAAACCCAACAAAAAGAGTAACAAACAGTACTATCCTTCCTACAATTGTACAAATTTACTACACTCTGAAGAAGGGCAGCAGACATTTCTCCAGAATATTTAGGGGTTGTGTCTCCAGCATAGTATTGAAAAAAACTTGTTCATTACTGCTACTTTTTCAGTCCAACTCATGCCTGAAAACAGGACTCTTAGCGGTTTTTAACACTACATACTGCATGCGCAGGACCCCTTTCCTCCAGGGTTAGGATTTACAATCACCTCATCTGGGGTGAAGACATCAAGCTATGGAAAGACCGAATATGTGTGAAGGAAAGGAGACTTCACCAGGAACACAGACCAAGCCCTCGATTGATCTGCACTTGAAATGGTTTTCCTATGTAGCTGCACTTTTTTTTCCACATTCAAAGGTTTATTGACAAAAATACAAAGTGATATTGTCATGAACGGAGAGAGAACCCTGGTTAATGAAGTCTAATGCTTGTACACTTCTAAAAAGCTGCCAGGTATTACAAGTATCACAGAATTTCACAAGCCTTTTAAAAAGAGATTCCATATATTCTACCTGACTTAAGGAGGCCCCCCAAAGGTAATATCACAGTTATTAGTTTAGGACATTCAATTCTGAACATAAACAGCAAGAAAGAAGTTTTCAAATTATATTTATTAATATTTTATTTATACATAGTGTATTTCCTTAGAACTGGGGGAGGACACGGCCCCACTCGAGTGAGATAACAAACTTGCTGTCTTTTACAAAATCTAATTAGAGCTGACAAAGGTACGGTTAGTCCTTAATTCCTGAGAATTTCAACATCAATTTTTCCGTGAACTTAAAACCAATGTTCACCTTAGTCTTTAAATTACAGTATGTCTGAAAAAATATCAACATTCATACGTTAACAAGGAGAAGCATCACCTGCCAGGAGACACTAACCCGAGAGTGTACGGAGCCCTGCTGCTCTGCAGTCCGATGCCATTTCAGTACTCAGCCTCAAAGATGTACTCTGAATACACGAGCTCATGGTACTTTACCCACACTGCAGTGACATTGTTTTGAACTGAGTAAAATAATCCATCACTTTCTCCCTGGTTGTCCGTATGCAGGGAGTCAATCGGCATAGAAACGCTACAGCTGGTAGAGTAACTGATTTACCTGTGTGGACTAATGAACAGAGAACGCAAGATTCTCTTCTAATTATATCTGTCCCTATTAAATGGGATGGTTTAGGAAGTTAAAATCAGAAAGCAGTACTGTTGCTATGAAGCGGTGACTAATTTGATATAATCAAATGCACTACCATTCATATAAACATTTGTAATGAAAATATAAATTATTAATTATGCAGCATGCTTTAGGGCCATTTCTACAGTTAGTATGAATTAGAAGTCCAGAATTCTCCTGTTTCCACAGTGAACAGAAACCATTCCCTACACTCTGCTTCTTCCCATGCTGGCAGTGAAAGTGTGCACGCTGGGCTGGGACGGTGGCCCCGAGCCGGGGGTGCCCACAGAAGGCGCGCTCGGTACCCCAGTCCCAAAGCTGGGAGCAGAGGGCGCCGAGCAGGCAGATGCAGCAGGGAGCAGCACCTCCCTCAGGGACGCGCGTCGTGGTGAGAGCGGAACCCTTCCTCCACTGTAAAGTACCATTTTACTACATGCTTGAAAGGGGATGGTTCATCCACTTACTAATATATCTTTACAAAAATAAAAATAGTAGCTTGCAGGGAAGTAAATTTACCGAAAATCTTTCTGCACTTTTTAAAATCAGTAAGTGATTTATTGTATTAGAATTTTATCTCACAGTGGTCATTTTTACACAGCCTGCAAGGGCAGTTATCATTTAATCTTGTACCCTAGGTTATACTTATCATAAAGAAAACATCTGCCCATACCGGTGCCAAGATGTCACTAACTGGACACAGAAGAAACCTGAGTTTGGACGCAGAAGTAACTCACTCCGCTTTTCCTCCCGCCACAGAGTGCCTTCAGCCACAGGGTGCTCCCGTGGTCTCTATGGCTCCATCTGAACTTCCTGTAAGTGTGGAACTGTCTTCACCCAGAGCAGCCGCGGACAGTTAACTGTCGCCAAAGCAATGTGAGCCAGCAGGAAAGCGTCTCCACAAGGATCAGCCTCAGCAGCTGGCCACGCATGGGCGCACAGCACCGCACTCCCCTCTGTACCAAAGCCATCTTCATGAGAACGTCGCTGTCTGCTTCCTGAACTTCAGGCTCGAAGAACATTGAAACTGGCTGTACAGAGTAAGCACTGAATTTCCAGTGCCTGGAGGTGACAGGGACCAGAGACTTACGCGACACAAATTACAAACACATGTGCAGACTACAAGGTGTGAGGCGCCTGCTCAGGAATCCGGCCACGCAACTGCTGAAGAAGCACATTCCAGCCCACAGTCCAGGGAAAAATCCAGTTTTAGTCTTATTCTCAACCTCTGAAAAGCAGAGCCTTTGAAAGTGGAATGGATGTAACTTCAGAGCCCTGCCTTCATGAGTTCCAACACCTAAATATTTTCCAGAACACAACCCAGGAAACAATTTGTCACAGCCATGACCTCCACCTCGCCAGCAGAGTGTGAACGCGTGTGGATGACCTTGGCCCCTCGGGCATCATTTCACGACAGGGTCGGCGGACACAGCGCTCTCCGATAGGTCTCCATCACTCGTTTTGGTTTCTTCTGGAGGTAGAGTGAAAATAACAATGGAAATATTTACGTTCATTAAAAAAGGTTTATAAGAGAAGTGCTATGTTACTAAATGTGAAATTAAGAAAATGCTGCATTCATCAAATATCTCTAATATTTAAAGTTTTTAAAAACCTCATCTCAAAAAGACTTTTTTAAAATGCAGAGCATGGTGGCACACGCCTGTAACTCCAGACCTCAGGAGGCTGAGGCAGGACTGAAGCAAGCTCCAGGGCAGCCTAGGCTACACAGTGAGTTCAAGGCCAGCCTGCACTGCACAGCAAGACCCTATCGAAAAAAAAAAAGAATGAATGAATGAATACATATATGAATAACATCTTTAAAAATTAAAATAAATTTCTTAAAAACTTAGGCCCAATACCACCGAAGTCCTAACTGGCTCTTGATGGAGTGCGGAGTTCAGAGCGGAGCATTCTGCACTTGGGGTGGGGCTGCCAGTGCCTGCAGTCTCGTGGCCCCTCTGACAAGGGTGTCCGCCCCACGCCCCAGCAGAACCCAAGCCACTCAGCTCCTCCACCACCCAGGTCTGCTGCCTCCCACACTTCTGAACAGTGCTACTTTACTTCAGTCTTGAAAACAAACCTAAACATGATATGCACAAGTGTTCACTTAATAAGTACAGCGGCACCTCAGTTCACAGACATCATTTGTTCTAGGGTTTTGGAAGATGACCAGGTCTATGTCTGCGTGGGAAGGACAGCTGCAGTCGTACTGTCACTGATGTCAATCAAACAAAAACAAAATTTTGCCAAGTGCTTCTGTTCGTGAACCAATTTGTTTGCAAACAAAAGCATCCATGAACGAGGTCTGCTGTACTTGGAAATCTTCCAGTATTTTGTAACATTCTAAAAATGACTGCACACATTGCTAATAAATGTGTTAACATTTAACTTATACAACATTATCAAAGAACAAGGTAGTTCAAATTAAGTCACTTATCTAAATAAGTGGCTCTACTCAGTGTAAGAAAAAGTACATTTTAAAGTCTGACAAAATTAATAAAAACATGTTATTTTAGTGTTTTATATCCTGACTTATGAAAAATCTCACAGAATACAAGTAAGAACACCACAAAACACTAATTTTAGTTATGTAGTGCCTGTACCGTATCTAGCTGTGACCGTCCCAACAGAGAAATGTAAGCTACGTAATCTGCAGGACCAAAAAGGGAAACATCTGTTTTTCAAGGACCTGGACCCAAATGTCACACTAGAAACACCACACAATGCTCTCAGCGTTCCCAGGAGGAAGTTGCTTTCTTACCCACCAAGGCAGACTCCCGGGGACACAGCCCCCCCACCTGTGCCCAGCAAGTGACCAGCACTCTTCACCCACTCGGACACCCACTCGCTGAGGAGCAGCAGGGCACTGCCCACAGGACTCACCCTCTCAGCCACCTGCCCAGCTTGCTGGTCCTGGCCTCATCAGCCACAGCTCTGCCTCAGCCACCCCAGCTGTCTCCCAAACTGGCCCCTTCCAACTGCATACAGGTGAGCAGTGAAAGAAGCAAAGCTCACTCACTAAATTTCATCTAATAAGAAGATGAAACTGAGTCAGGGTCAAAGGGTTACCACAGAGTAAGATGTGTGCTTCATTCTGACGTGTGACTCTACGACCCAGACTGGCTTGAGTTTTGGGTTTTTTGGTTTTCTTGGTATTGGGGATGGAACATGGGACCTCACACTTGCAAGATAGGCATGGCGCCACTGAGCTAAATCCCAGCTCAGTTTTGTTTTTAACAACTCTTATTTCTAGGTCTGTATTTCTTTTCCAAAAGTAAGCTAGAACTCTGACCAGAAAATGGGGTACTCCTGTCTACTGTTAGACTATTGTTTTTTGGGGGGTTTTTTTTGTTTGTTTTTTTGAGTCAGGGTCTCACTATGTAGCTGAGACTGACCTGGAACTCACTGTGTAGCCCAGGCTGGTCTCGAACTCACAGCGATCCTCCTGCCTCAGCCTGCTGAGTGCTGGGATTACAGGCGTGCGCCACCACGCCCAGCTAGACTACTGGTTTTTCCAAATGCAGCCACTCACTCACCTTCCTTCTCTTTCTTCTCCTGATTCTCTTCAGCTGCAGTCTTGTCTGCTCTGAAGAAAATTCTTGCACTGCTCAGTGAGAAATACAGCAATTCAAATTCCTAATAGGAAAGAAAGTGGGAAAATACTTACAGTGATACATTAAAAATACTTCCAGAAGCTCTAGTAGAATTCACAAATACAGAAACTAAACCAACTAACTTACCCATTTTTAAGATTTGAGTCAAACAGTTTGCAACTACCATTAATTCTAAAATACATTCTTTTACCACTACTCATCTCACATGAAAAGGAAGTCAAAGCAGGGTTGCTGCTTGTGCGCCTCTACCTGTAAATAGACATCCAGTCGCTTCTGAGTGAGATTCATGGTCTGCAGCAGCTTTTCATCTTGACTAGCCGACTGCACGTTCTGCTGCTTAGCGACCGCCCTTATCTCTTTCAAATATTTCTCTCTAACAGACTGGAACCAGTGAAGGGAATCAAACTCCTGGTACTGATCCAAAAGCTTCAGGATGTAAGCCACACCTGCCGTTACAAGCAAAACCAAAGTTTAATTACTGTGAATACAGAAGTTGTATTCCCTTCCCTCACCAGCAGTTTCGAAGTAATCATCTCCCAAATCACACTCTCCAACATAAATACATTTAGTAAGATGTCTTACTTCTTCCTTTAAAAAAGATGTAAATGTATAAAGAACTAAAAAAGGAAAAAAATCATTTAAGAAGAGAATAAATAAATCACGTAACCATAAAAATCACCTGGAAAAACATGGCTGTAGGACAGAGAATAAAAACTTTCACCTCTCAGAGACAGCAAGCGAGGAAGCTACAGGGAAGTCCGGGGTACTAAGTACAAAATGCTGAAACCGTGAGATGACAAGAACAAAGCCTGAACACGAAGGCAAACCAGACAAGTGATCAGCAATGCCAAGAGGGCGTTACATGACAGTTGTAGGTGAAAAACAAGCACTGCCGACCAAATGGCCCCACAAGAAACAACCTGTAAAGAGCACATAAACCTATCTTCACACAAACATTGCTTTTTTTTTCTGGCATCAAGATCAAACTCAGGACCTCGGCCTTGCAAGGCAGGCATGGTGCCATTGAGCGAAAATCCCCAACCCTACACAAACATTTCTAAGAGCCCATTTTAAGGTACAAAGTTAATGTGAAAATAGTTCCATTAAGCTTACCCATGGCAAAACCATCGTCAGTAAAGGCAGCTCCGATTTTATTTTTTTTATTCAATTTCTCCTTGCAACTAATGGAATGTTCTACAAAGTTGAGGGTCTAAAAACATAACAGATATCAGAGTCAAAATTAGTTAAGGAAATCTTCAAAATTAGGCTCCTGAAAAGAGACATTTCAAAAGCTGCACCCAGAATCTCCACACCACGACGCCATGCTGTGTGTGAAGCCCTGACCTCGCTCGCAGCCATGCTGAGCCACCCATCTGCGACACATGCACAGCGCAGTCACCGCTCACAGCTCGGGGCCGGGTCTGGGGTCCCTGACAGAACAGCCCTGCAGTTCAGAGAGGAGGATGCCAGCAAATTCAGCCTCTCCACCACGGCCACGGCAGAGGGCATGGGCTTAGACAGTAGCCTCTTCTCCATACACACACAGGGCAGCCCTCACTTCCACCGGCTCAAAACACCACCTCTTCCCATGTTCTTTGGCTAAAGGACAGATTCCTCCAAACAGTACTTTCTCTTGAAATCCTGCTTTTCCAAGATACCTTATCCTATCAGACCATTCATACAGACACTGAAGCTCACCACATACCAAACACCACTGACTGCAAAACTGGTCAGCATCTCACACTGGCACTCATAGCACACAGCACTAATGGTCCCTGCAGAAACGCTGTGTGTCCGCACAGCCGGAATTACACAGCCCTGAGCTCTACACACGAGGCCAGGGACGGAGAGGCTGAAATTTAAGTGTATAAAATTTTAACTTAAAGTGGCTGCACCGTGGACAGCAAAGCTCTAGAGTGCAGGCAGCATTATTTAAAAACCAATCATGATACAGAGTGAAAACCATGTAACAGCTGACACAGGAAACAAAACGTAAGTTTCACTTTTATTGCCTATGACATTTATTTGGCAATTAATCATGTTATTTGTGAACTCTCTTATCAGCTCTCATTAGAGTCTTTTTCCACAGTTTGTCTTTTCCTAGACTATAGATTTGTACACAAAAGCAGTACCCATATTCGCCAATCTGAGTCTGCTTGGTGACTGGACTCTTTACCCTCCAGCTCTACCCAAGCTCACCGGGTCTCTCTGTGCTGCTGCGGGCTGCAGCGAGCTGCTCTCTGGTGCCATCAGTCAGTCAGTCAGTCAGACAGACAGACAGACAGAAAGATGGCCTTGCTGCTTGTCTGGACCCCAGCCTGGGAGGGAAAGATGCTCACCACATGAATACACATGTGCACAGTAAAGCATAAAACAGAAATTCATAAAGGAAAAACGTCTGTAGATGATCTGCAGATGATCAGCTATTTCCATTTTCCACTAGGTGATAGCAGTTATATAATGTCAGAAGCTACATTAACAAGTCAGACAATGATATAAACAGTCATCATCCTCCATGTTGGATGTAATAAACAGCTATCACCATTCAGTGATGCTTAATCAAAACACAAACCGAAAACAAAAAACTTAATTACAGAAGCCTTTAGAGGAAATTGGCCTATTGTTATTATAAACCTCTCTAAATGCTCAAATCCATTTTCCCGGCTGGAATAACTGTCTTTATAATGTAATTTTTTTTGGTACTGGGAACTGCACTCAGGATCTTGTGCTTGCCAGGCAAGCTCAGTACCAGTAAGCTCTGTCCCCAGTCCTGTAATGTAAGTTTTGAAAACCTGAGCCACTTTTAGGCAATTATAGAATTAGAATGGGGTGTTCCATACATTTTCACAAGGAGAAAGCATTAAAAGTTTATGCTAGGTGTTAGTACTATTGCACAGAGAGAAGTTATCCTGAAACACAGGCTTCTAAGACGTGCGTTAGAAAACCCTTCCTGTCACACCAGTCAACGCTGGTCCACATTCAGGGCTTACCGTGACTGGTATCATTCCACCCAGACTCTGGCACACTTGGACTACATACACTCAAGTAATTTAAAAACAACAGGACTTCTCTATTACCTATTAACAGGAAGCTATCTTAGCTATAGGCAGTCTCCTTCCGCTCAGCTAATTAGGAGAACTGTAGTTAACACTCATGAGGAGACATGTAGTTTACTTACATCGGAAAATCGGAGATATACTCTGCATCATGCTACAAGGAAATCAAAGTCATTTACCACAGCTGTTAAAAAAGATTCATTTTAGGCTGTGAAAATACTCACTAGAGGAGGCACAATGATATAAAAATTTCGGAGGTGTATATTCTTTGGCCTTCGAAATTCTGGAGCAAAAACATCCACAAGCATTTTGAAATACTCTGTGCCTTCAGCAGAATTTCGTGTGTGATCACTGAGAACTGAGTCCAAATGCCTAAGAAACAAAAATAAGGATAAAAATAAAATAGTTGTAATACTTTTGATTCCTTTTTCAAAAGCAGGCATTCTTCTTAAAACCCAGCTCTCAGCAGGCTGGCCAAGACCACCAAGCAGGGAGCAGAGCCTGCGTGCAGAACACAACCATTCTCTTATGGACAGAATCCCATCTCTGTGAACAAACTCTTCATCTGAAATCTCTCCGCCGATGCTCCTCCTGCATTTCTTTACCTCAACTTGAACCTGGCCCTCTCTTGAGAGCTTAAGCATCCCTTTCAACCTTCGGTAACAGGAGATGCCTTTTGTCTTGGAATCAGAACACACAGCTCTCACTACTTTCAAACCGTCCTTCCTCACAGGACCCAACAACAGATGCTCTTCAGCCTAGGATGGGTGACACCTGGATAAACCCCGGGCACCCCGAGGATGAGTGAAGAACATCTCGGTCCCAACACCACGACCCTGTGATGCCCGGAGCAGCAACACCTGCACTGCCCATGAAGCTCCGGGGTCGCGGTGCCCACCACCAACGCAGGAGAGGACCCAAAGGCAATCTGAGCCCAGGGCTGTGCATGAAGCTCAGGGGTTAAGTACCTGCCTAGCACCCATCAGACCACAAAACTTAACAACGGTAATAATGATAAGGTTAAACATGTTTTAAAATATCAGTTTTTACTTATCACTTTCACATCACTGTAAAATTGAAAGTAAAAATAAAACACAAGATGAGCCATTATAAAATAAAGCAGGGCCATCTGTAAAACCCTCTGCTCCTGGCTGAAAGCAGGCCGCGAAAGCTCCATGAGGGACAAGGTCTCTGTTCGCGGCCCCTCACGGTACCCAGTAGTACCAGCCAGCACTCCTCGGACAAGCTGGACCCTGCAAGCAGAAGCTGACTTTACCCTGGACACCCAGAGACAGCACGGCACTCCTAACTCCTCGGACTCCCTCAAAATATCTTTTAAATGCTACTTTTAGTGAAAATGACATCAGCTAGCAAAAAGTAAAGGTCCAACTTTCTCTCTGTGATGCACCTACCACCACCTACTTTAGCCATTTTCAAGCACAGCACTTTGAATAGCTAATTACCACACCCGGCTGCTGGTAAGCTGGTGATGAACCAGGCCAGAACCTGCAGGGCACAACCTCTGCACCAGGGAAAAGAGCACTTTCCTTTTTTAAAACTGTCAAGAGCATCAGAGTTAAAATCCAGGATAATAACACCCGCATACCCTCAGCTAGAGTCACCACCCATTTATTTGCTTGCTAAACAAATTCTGCACCCCTCGGGCTCCCTCGGGCTCTAAGTTATGTCACAGAGCCCTTCCTGGCTGGCGTCTGGAGACCAGCACTTCCAGTGAGCCAGGAGAACCTTACACCGAAATCACATCAGTCCGAAACCCCACTTCCGCTTCCATCTGCTGTACTCCAGGAGCAGCAGCTGCACAGGGCAGTGGCTGCCGGACAGGCAGGAGGCCGCTCCAACAGGGAAGCTGGCATTCTACAAGTCTTTGAAAAGGAAAAAAACAGGCGACGTGAGCTTTACAAATGAGCCGCTTGGCATTCCTTTCCTGATGCTAAATCTTCAAGGTGGGCTGTGTGAGCCAACCACAGTTCAGGTGTCCAAGAGGCACACACGGCTGGGGGCTGTCACACTGGGCCACATGGTCCATGGGATCCCTTTACAGCAAGGGTGGAAAGACCTTAGGATATCGCAGTCTTTAAAAAGCAACATAAAACCGAGACCATGATTCACACGGTAAAAACACTGCCATATAAATTATACAATATCCTATGGTCTTCTCTTTAACGTCTTATATAAACACTTTTTTTTGGGCGGGGGGGTTTTCAAGACAGGGTCTCTCTATGTAGTTCAGGCTGGCCTTGAACTCAGTGACTGTCCTGCCTCGGCCTCCTGAGTGCTAAAATTATAGGTATATATCACCAGGCCTGGCTAAACACACATTTTTAAACTTCCAAATTTCAATTATTCAAAAACTAGATTACCTTGCTGCTTTTAATGTTTCTTCTGCAAGACCTTCTTCTTTTACCAGTTCTTCAAAATTTACAATATCTTCAAGATCAGGCACAAATCTATGTAAGAATTGGGAAGGAATTTATTAAGGCAACAAAAATGTGTGCAGATGACACAGACAGGAAAGTGGTGCGTAACACTGCTCAGAGACGTTCAACCATGTACTTCAGGAAAAACTTCGTACTTCAGTGATACTGTTAAGATCACCACTTTAGTTACGATCAAATTTTGGATATCACATTTACTCCTTAAAATCATGTACGCTAGACTAACTCATAAACTATACTGACAAAATCATTTAACTATAAGCTTGAGAAAAATAAAGACCTTCAACAGTCTAATGTACTCTTAAAGTTTAAAGTGAAAAAAATCTAACTAGAATTGTTTTCTTCCATTTTTCTCTCAAAATATACTAGCAAAAACAAAAACCTCTACAATATCACATATCACAAGAGAAATTTAATAACATAAAGTGGCATAAACAAGTCAAAAATGATGCTTGCATCCATACCTAATGGCGTTGCTGCTACAATGAAGACCACCAGATCTAATCATCCGAACATAGCCCATAGCATTACCTGAAAGGCCACACAAAAACAGGTGTTTATATATGTAGTCAACTACAAGGTTTCCATTCCTAGGTACCAAGATACTCTGCTATAGTTTACTTCAGTCCTTGTTCCATAAAAAATAAAACTGTTGACTATTCCCGCACTTAAAATACAAAGGTACAGTTATATCTATCTACACTATATATTTTAAAATAAGTTTAAGGGCTGGGGATTTAGCTCGTGGTTCTACCAACTACCTAGAAAGTGCAAGGACCCGAGTTCGATCCCCAGTACCAAAAACAGACATACAAACAAAATAAGTTTAACTTTTTCAGTTGATAAATTCATTAAATGCTGAATACACTGCATGACCAAACATCTTAAAATTAGAGCACCAACAATTTCTTCGCTCCCACCTTGGAAATACCCTCATTCTCTTCTCAGTCTCTATCGCTGTCTCTTGCTCTGTCACACACACAAATGCATGTGCGTGCGCGCGCACACACACACACACACACACACACACACACACACACACACACACACACACACACACACCATGTACGTACCAAAAAAAATCTTTATTAGATGCTGTCAAACTCACATTCCAAGCCTGGACTTCTCTGAACACTAGGCTTTTTTAATCCAGTGTTCATAGCTACATATCTGGAAGAATCTTAAACTGTAAATGTCCAGTCAAACTCAGGAGCTTTAGCCCCTGCTGCAACGCCTCCCTCAGAAACCGCCAATGCCTGCCTTTCCAGTTGCTCAGGTCAAACACCTTGAAGCTACCCAGACTCCTCTCTCCCCTGCACCCTGTATCTCAACAGTGGATAAATGAGTGTTGGCTCTGCCTTGAAGATGTGGCCTGAATCCAACCACATTCACCACCTTCACATCTCACCCTACTCCAACTGTCACACCAGGCTGTACCACGCCAATACACAGCAGACTGGTCCAGCTTCCCAGCTTCCACCGTAGCCTCCTCCCACACCCCGATCTTCTCTTTGCCTAGCACAGCAGCAGAGATTATAAGGTAAGTGCCTTGGAACGGCTGCCGCCATCCTGATAAATAACTTCCTTCCTCACCCTAAAGTTCCCATTCCCACCTCAGGCGTCATGGGTCATAGTAAATGTCCAAGAATGGCCCCTGAGTGGCTTCCCATGCAGCTGACGCAATCCCCGACCCGCCTACACCAGTCACCCACTATGTAACCAGGCCCCTTTCCCGCTCCCTCTCTGTTCCCTTTCTGCTGAGTGGGCCACCGGTCCACCGGGCCACCGCGGCTCTTTAATAAAATCTCTCATATGGGCTCTGTCGGTGCGCGGAGTAATCTTTGGCAGGCGCCGGTTCCTTTCAGAGATGACATTTCAGAGCCTCCAAGAACAAACAGCGCGTGTCCTACAGGTTCACCACCACCGACCTGGAAGCTAGTGACTCCCACAAATCCAGCATTTCCTGAAAACTCCACGAGGGCTGTCCTCTCCAGAGGGAAGCCCACCCTTCCTGTGGAAGCAGGCAGCTCGCTGCTGTGGCTCCCACCACTCCGGTTTCTGCTGACTCCTCCCAGCCCCGATAACCCGGACATCGCAGGGCAGACAGGGCTTCTGCGCTCACTCTGTGCGGCCTGGCTGGTACCCTCTCTCTGGGCAGCGCAGTGCAGCTGTGCTCAGGGGACTCAGGACCCGCTTCAGGGTCAGAGCATCGCTGAAGAGTGTTCTACCTCCTACACAGCACTCAGCACTGCAGACAGCTCTTATCTTGTTCATTCCTCACTAAAACCAAGCTCTATGAGCAGAGCCATTCAGTCTCCACTGCTCCCTCCCAGAGCCAACGCATTCGGCTCAAAGGAGGAATCCAGCACCAACTGAAATGAACTGAAATCACCCAATCTATGTTAAAGCCTATTCCAATTTTTTGTTTTGGGTTTTGTGTGTGTGTTTGTGTGTAGTTTTGAAACAAGGTCTTGCTATGTATCCCAGGCTGGCTGAAAACTTGCAGCGATCCTCATGCCTCAGCCTCCAGAGTGCTGGGATTACAGATATGCACCACCACACCCAGATGTTTTGTTTTCTTCTAATAGGCATATCAGAAAAAGCAAGTATCCAATTTCATTGTTTTCCTCCAAATTGTCAGATTAATGTCAGTAGTTCAAAATGTGACAAGCTAGCACAACACAGAATGGAGGAGCAAAATTTCAGAGGTCAGACTTCCCAGGTTCAAATGTAGACTACGGCGCTCGTTAGCTGAAGGACTTTGCTCCACCCTGTAATCTCTGTGTGTCAGTCTCCTCTCCTGGCAGAGTCAGCTCTAGCAGGGCACAGACTTTGTTTAGTGTCTTAAGAAGAAGCATCATCACCCACAAGCATCTGCCGTCCTAAAGAAGTCCCTGTGGAATGCATGAGGGGAAACAATGCTGCGTGTAGTGTCTCCCAAGAGCCAGAGTGCAGAAGGCACAGGGCACTCAGTAAATGTTCAGGGCCGGCGGCAGCTGTTAGCTACTCCAGCAGGCAACGATCAGGACTCCACCTGGCTCCCAGCTCACTACTCCTCTCAAAATGAAGAACAGACTGAAAAGCACCCTGCAGCACTTTACAGAGAGGAGTACAATGCTGGGATACTGTGTGTGGACAGAGTGAGAGCCGGGGGAGTGGAGGTAACACTGGACGGCACAGCCAGATCATCTCAGTGGCCGTGGATACAGATGTGCATCAGGAAATGAACCAGCACACTGAGGGCCAGGAACTAACTGTTACTTCTTAGGATGAAGTTATACTTTCAAAAAATATAAAAAATAAAACAGTACAGGCAGCGCTGACTCTGATGTTTGCATGTGAACACAGCTCTAGAAGGAGGGCACACAGACCGAGCCTGAAGCCCTCATATTCCTCACAAAATCCCACATGCACGGCAGACGGCATTAGCTCTGCAAAAGCATCTTCATCAGATCTCAAAGCTAGTTCAGCTCTATTGTGCCACTAGTTTGCAAGTAGGCTGGGCATGGTAGCAAATGTCTGTAATCCCAGCATTTGGGAGGCTGAGGCAAGAAGATCACAGCAACTTCAAGGCCAACCTGAACTACATAGTAAGATCCTGTCTCAAAAGAAAAGAATTTGCCATCTAATATGGAATCGACTGTCTCCTTAAAGGAACATATTTAGCTGGCATACTTCATGTTAAGTAGCTCAAGATAAAAAGTTTACAAAGGCAAGATTCTCTAATTTCTTGCACTAAAACAGAACAGGAAAATCTAACCTGCAAACCAAGGGACCTGCACAGTTTACGGTCACACGCTGAAGTCACTCCAAAGTGAACTTCAGAACACCTTTCCCACTAGTAGGTAAGCCACCTGGGAGCAAAGCTGTTTGCAAACCCAGCATGCAGAAGGATGCTCAGCATAACTGATGCCTGTAAATGTCTGACAAATGAATCAATCTCAGGAGGCATAATTTTCCCAAAATAGAATCAGTGAGATTTTACTAACTGGTCAGTGTCAGTTAAAAGAACTAAAGACCGTAAGACACCTTTGGACTTCTAGCTAAATAACCCCAGTTAAGTCTCAGCGCAACTATTTCTCATTTCTCTGATTTTGCTCTCTGCACCTTTTTAAAACAGTGATTTCACAGTCAGAAGTGGTGTTGCATGCACTTGGGAGGCTGAGGCAGGCAATGTAGGGTTTGAGGCCAGCCTGGACTATATAGCAAGTTCAAGGCCAGTGCTGACTCTATCGCGAGATCCTGCCACAAAAGAACAAAACCTGATTACATGCCTACCCCACAGGCTTATAGGGAGGGCATTTGGTACACATACCTTTTGTGAAAAATTCAAATAAGGGTAAGATTTTGTTAATCAAGGATTATTTCTGCATGTAGTTCTTACTCCTAAATATACTACACTGTATTTCAGGAGACAGGTTTAACTTATAAGGTAACAGTACAAATTATCTACATAAGTATTAAATCAGTGTTACAGAAAAAAATATAGCATTTGGTATTTTATCTGTAACTCAATTTCTATATAACTTAATAATCTAAATGACTATCTTTTCATATGAATGTTTCATACTTCATATTTGGCTGTGAAAGAATGTCTTTTAAAAGCTCAAAATGATGACAATGCTCTGAATAGTAGGTACCCAGTAAGTGCTTCCCAGATGACCATTCATTTTCCATATGGGATGATTTCCTTTGAGATGATTAATTTGATGGAAGAGGTTTTATTTAACTTTTATTAGTCTACAGTCTACCAATTATTTCTGCAGCACAAATCCTGTAAGATAACTCCCCCAGTGGAGCAGCACTGAGCTAAGCACCAGCTTTTTATCAGTGCAAGCTACTCAGCATACGTGGTTCCTAAGATCCATCCTTCACTTCCCAGTAATAACTTACCAATCTGGCTGATGAGCTGCCTGAACTGATCAAGGTAGCTCTGGCCCTCTGGCGTGATTCCAAGTTTCCGGATGCCTCGGTTGAATTTTTCTGCTCTATCAAAAGGGTACTGGAGAGAGAATTTTAAAACTATCTTTAAACCCTAAGGGAGAAAATGACTACCAACATGATCATGCCAATACTACTAATTTTATTTCATTCTGATTAAAACAAAACAAAACAAAAACTCCCAAGTCTAATGACAAAATACTTATAAAATACAACTGTAATCCCAGCACTCAGGCGGCTGAGGCTGGAGGATCGCGATGAATTCCAGGCTATCCTGGGATACGTAGTTAGTCCAAGGCCAAGGTGAACTATATATTGAGACCCAGTCTCAAGAAAAAGATAAAATAAAAACTGCTCATGCTCAAGGTCAATATAATTTTTTTGTTATTAACTAAAGGGAGGAATAATCAGGGCCACTAAATTTAAGTTTCCTACCACCAGTTTGGTCTCTAATGCCCAACAGCTCTATCGGACTGACAAAAAGGACAAAGTTATTCCTTCCAGAAACATCTGTCCAGATATGTGACCAGTGGATGGAAGCACATGGTTAACAGCAACTGCTTCCAAAAGCGGAACAGGAAGGAAAGAAAATGAGGGAGCTGTTCCACACACTTTTCATTGCTTAAATGTTTCTAAATGCATATTTGTATTACTTTCAAACTAAAGAAAGTGAATCTGGGTATACTGATCATTCATTTTTTCCTTATGTGGAATCTGACAGAGATTGTAAGGGAAAACAGAAGGCACACAGAGCCTGCCTGGGAGACAAGTGAAAAAGAAAGAAAGAAAACTGAAACCCCACTGAGATCTAAATGATGAATTCTGCATAAGCATTTGCCATATACTTAACAGTTGAATCAAAGTACCTTAAAAAGAACACACAGCATACCTTATGATCATTTTGGTCCTTAATTTCCCTGAAAAACCGAATGTCTTTAATCAATCTGGATTTGATATGTTCATCATACATAAACTGGCTAAAGATATAAAACTTCTTTTTCAAAAACTGGTAGGTGAAATTAACCTATAAAAATTAAAATTCAAAAAATTGGACAAAGTTAATATGAAATTAACTTCAAATCAATGATACTAAGTAACGATATAAAAAGTACCATTTTTAAAGTTCAGTTCATGATAGACATAAAAATATTTGTTTTCTATTGCCCAAATTTATTTCTTTTATATATTTTTGCTAAAAAAAAAAAGCAAAAAAGAAATAAGAAAGTGGAACATGATCTTACAAGAAGACACAGCTGCGCAGCAGTGGGAGACACTGGTCTCGGCCTTGCACCTGGGAAGCTCCAGCTTCCTGGTCAGGACTGCTCAGCACCAAGCTGCACACAAGACAGGCGAGTCCTCTCTGAACTTGCTGAAGGACTCAACGTTCACTATAGGCAACCCATTCTGAGTGAGAGCCTTCTATGCTTATGCTAGACATGGCTGTTATCCTCATGAAGTTTATACTCTCACAGGGGTGGCAGACATTTGAATCAAGTATTGCTGAATAAATTAACTAAGTCTTAACTGCAATAATTACTAAAAATGAGAATTGTGGGTGCTCCGAGAGTAAGTAACAAAGATTCAGAAAACTAACAGGGTGAAACCTGAGCTGAGATGAAGCGAAATAAGACAAATCCCAAGCTACTCTAGAACACCCTCTTCTGACTCCCATCCCAGGCACTCAGCTGCTAATGGTTTTAGTAAAGTTTGCCTTTTTGCGTAGCCTGTGGCTCCCCACTTGCAGCTGTGGCTGAAACACTGCCCGCTCTGTTCTTTTCCCGTCCTCTGCAGTCTGGTCTGCCCATCCCGCCCTGAGTCTCACCCAGTGCCCTCTCCATCACTCCTACGTGTCCTTGTGAGGCTGACTCCTGTCGGTATCTATTACCACAAGAGCAGGGCATTGCCAGTGCCTCGCACAGGGCCTGAGACATAAAATACACTCGTGAGAGTTTGTTACATGAATGCTTGGAAGGTGACAGAAGCTAAGGAAAAGTTTATCATCAGAAGTTCAGAGTTTATCTTTGAAGGCTCAAATGTGATACACAGAGTAACTCCCATTTTACATTTACATTTAAATGGACTAGCAAGGTCTCACTCCCATACCAGTAACCAACATAGAGCTCCAACCATACCAGCCGCCCACTCAAAACCTTCAGAGCCTTCCCCATTGCTTACTATAATTGCTGTCCACTCTCCCCCATTCCTTCACTCCAATCTGTTTCATATGAAAAAACTTAAGCATTCATTTTTCTTATTCTTAAAGAGAATAAGAATGACCTAATCACAGGTCAATTCAAAGATTTTTTCTCTTTTTCCTACAGAGGGAAAAACAGCACACAAGCTCAAGTGATCTCAAGCGACTGCCTGCTACCAGGAAGACTCAAAGTAACTGAAATGGGTATCAATCATTAGTAGCCTCTCTCCAAAAAAACAGTGTTTATTAGGGCCGGGGATGCAGCTCAGTGGCACTGCATCTGCCTCACAAGTGCGAGGTCCTGAGTTCAATCCCCGGTGCCGCAAAAAAAAAAAAAAAAAAAAAA